AATAATACTACTTCAACGATAGTATCTAGGTGTTATCTTTCATCTTTTCCCTTTTTTTCTGTTTTTCCTCTTCTGTTAAAAAAAAAAGAAAAAAAAAGAACAGGCTTTTATATTGTGTTCCCCTGCTGCTTTTTCCTCTAACTCACTCATGGCCTTGGCATAATTTGGCACAAAGTTCACCATATATGGGTTATAAAAACTGCAGAATCACAGTTCAAACATAACTAAATCTGTCAATATTTATTATAAAGTTAACCAAAACAAGAACAAACTAATATTTTGTTTAAAAGATTCCCAGGAAAGCTGGAAAATTTTCATTTTAGTAAGCCACTCCAAGATCATTTAGTTTCCCCCATGTGGCCAGGCAGTACACAGCTTCCTGGAAATTTGATTCCAAGTTGAATTTAAAACCATATGCTACCAAGACCACTTAACTTTAGAAAGGGACAGGAGAGGAAATGTTTCATTTGTCCCACAATGCAGAAATTGTAGGACAAATGAGTGGTGGGCTGGCAATCTGTGCGGTTCACCGTGAGCATCCTGGAAGTTAAGGGTCCTGCTCAGGGACCCAGAGTAAAAGTTTTAGCTTCAAATGAGCTATTTTGTTCCCTCTCCAGGATTACTATCTTCTGCTCTCTAACCAGGGGGGGACAGAACGTATTCTAAGTAATCCTTGGTGAAGCTTTGTGATAAACAGCGATTATATCCCCATCGAGATGTCCCTTTTCTGTTGGATGATATCTAAAAGTGGTCAGTCAAAGAGGAATACTGATCTTGACACTGATGAATATACACTCACCGGCCACATTATTAGGTACACCTGTCCAACTGCTCGTTAACACTTAATTGCTAAGCAGCCAATCACATGGCAGCAACTCAGTGCATTTAGGCATGTAGACATGGTCAAGACAATCTCCTGCAGTTCAAACCGAGCATCAGTATGGGGAAGAAAGGTGATTTGAGTGACTTTGAACGTGACATGATTGTTGGTACCAGAAGGGCTGGTCTGAGTATTTCAGAAACTGCTGATCTACTGGGATTTTCACGCACAACCATCTCTAGGGTTTACAGAGAATGGTCCGAAAAAGAAAAAACATCCAGAGCGGCAGTTCTGTGGGTGGAAATGCCTTGTTGATGCCAGAGGTCAGAGGAGAATGGCCAGACTGGTTCGAGCTGATAGAAGGGCAACAGTGACTCAAATAACCACCCGTTACAACCAAGGTGGGCAGAAGAGCATCTCTGAACGCACAGTACGCCGAACTTTGAGGCAGATGGGCTACAGCAGCAGAAGACCACACCGGGTGCCTCTCCTTTCAGCTAAGAACAGGAAACTGAGGCTACAATTTGCACAAGCTCATTGAAATTGGACAATAGAAGATTGGAAAAACGTTGCCTGGTCTGATGAGTCTCGATTTCTGCTGCGATATTCGGATGGTAGGGTCAGAATTTGGCGTCTACAACATGAAAGCATGGATCCATCCTGCAGTGGTGTCATGGTGTGGGGAATATTTTCTTGGCACTCTTTGGGCCCCTTGGTACCAATTGAGCATCTATGCAACGCCACAGCCTACCTGAGTATTGTTGCTGACCATGTCCATCCCTTTATGACCACAATGTACCCAACTTCTGATGGCTACTTTCAGCAGGATAATGCGCCATGTCATAAAGCTGGAATAATCTCAGACTGGTTTCTTGAACATGACAATGAGTTCACTGTACTCAAATGGCCTCCACAGTCACCAGATCTCAATCCAATAGAGCATCTTTGGGATGTGGTGGAACGGGAGATTCGCATCATGGATGTGCAGCCGACAAATCTGCGGCAACTGTGTGATGCCATCATGTCAATATGGACCAAACTCCCTGAGGAATGCTTCCAGCACCTTGTTGAATCTATGCCACGAAGAATTGAGGCAGTTCTGAAGGCAAAAGGGGGTCCAACACGTTACTAGCATGGGGTACCTAATAAAGTGGCCGGTGAGTGTAGATGTTCTCTTCTTAAAGTAAAATCATGTTAAAGTATCTTTGCAGCTGGACCACTCTGTTTGTAACTGATACAAAAAAAACCATCAGTTATGCAGTTTGTGGTAGCATATATGGCAACTTTTAACATTTATAAAGGAACCATACATGCCACGAAACACGTTAAAAACTGCTTTGAAAGAGGTAGATGTTCATTATATATTTAATCTTTTTAATGAAGGTATTGATAATCCAGTATGGCTGTACTAAATCCATTTTTTTGGAATAATATGGAAATAAAGATTTGTTTGCAGTAGTGCTATACTCTTCATATTTAAATTAGGAGTGAAGCCTTTTAAAGCTTTTATATCTCATTAATCTCCATCAAAACTGTTCTTTGTTTCCTCTTATCCTCCCCATTTTTACAATCTTTTTTACTCCACCATCCTCCTCTTACCTCCTTCTGAAAAGCCATTTATATCATCCTAATTAACTTCTGTCCTTTGTAATATGCGTTAACCTCAAACGAAGTATCTAAACTGAACACCCGTGCTTTCACATTATTTAATTATCTGAAATTAAAATGTATTTTAAAAAGAGCAAATTATTTATTACAACCTCCTTAGTCACTCTCACCATTATCCCTTTATGTATTATTTCATATTAGTAAGTATATCACTGTTACTTCTTTTAATTTGCCAAAGTCTGGAGGGTCCTGTTGGGCATGTCAGTCTCAGAGTCCATAATGTGTAATTTAACAAACAGGCTTCCCTGTCTCTGATCAAAGATCTTTGTTCTGTCTCCTTGCTTAGATACATTCATCTATAATTACAGTGTATGCTTCTTGGAACCTAACCAGATAAAAAAAAATAAAATAAAACTTTTACATTTCATTTGATAAAAATCTACAATAACTTTCCACAAAACACAATACCAAATATTACCATAATAGCTATTTTATTATTTCCTTCATGGAAGCTGCCAGGTGGGAGTCTGTCTCTGCAAGAGTTAACAAATTACATATTTGCCCTTTGAGGATTCATCTGCTTTTGTGAATAAATAACATTTTCATATCCGCTCAGTGTGGTTGGCATTTCAGGTTCAGGGAAGCAGAGCAATCAGGACTGGATTAATAAAATGGTTCAATGCCTCGGGGTGAATCAAGGAATGCACGTTAAGGAGAACAACAGGGAACAGGTTTTTTTTATCCAAAACTATTTGTATTGGAAGCTGCGCTGTGGAAGGAATGCCTGTTAACTAGACATGAGGCTCTGAATACCAAACACAATTAATTAAATCTCTTACAATGGTAATTAGGCCTTCTTCAAACAAAAACTAACAGCAGTTGAATGTATAATATCACTGGGCCTTAACGTGGCATTAAAACTGAATAAAGAAATATAATCTGTTCCTGTCATGATAGATTATCTGCTCTTGACTTTCCTGCAGTTTATTGGGAATGAAACATATTTTGTGGTGACCTTTGCTTGAATAAACAGAATAAAAGTGTCAGATAAATAAAAGATAAGAAATCCCAATTTATTGATTTACTAAAATAAATTACTTCAGTTCGGTCAGAGTTACAATGAGCAATAAAAAAGTCAACAACATCTATTTTATGTCTACTGAGTTTTATTTCCTTAAAACCCATCTGAACTCAAAACCCTTTTTGCTTTCAAAACTAGACATTGAGTACAGTATATCATACCAAATCAACCTTATAACCACTTTCTGAAAGAAAAATGTTTATTAGCATGTTTATTAAAGTAACATAATGATTAGGATGGTTGTGTTAAACAATAAAATGACTTAAGAAGCTGATCAGCCTGGATGATCTAAATCCTGATGGTTCTAATGTTTTTGATTAGTGATATATAGCAATTAAATATTGCTGTAAATTATAATGAAAAAAATTAAATGAAATTTCTGATAAAATAAAAAAAATACATATATATGTGTGTGTGTTTCCAGTGCAATAAAATAAAGCTACACTGCTGTGCTTACAGATTATCAATTGGCGTTGAAACTAATTACATTAGGTAATATATTTTCTACGGTCAAATTAGCTAAGCCATACATTATCCCTCTGATATGAAACAAGTTAAACTTGTCATATAGTATTTTCTTTGACAATTCTACACCTTAACAACCATTGTGAATCAGAGGTCTTAACATCTTTTATAAAATACTGAAGTAAATTTTGATAAAGAAAAATACTACCTCGTCTGGTTAAATAAAAAAAGTATAAAAAATTATATGTTAAATTTGATCTTTTGTGGCAAAAAAAAAAACTTCCTTGCTGCCCATGCATGCACCTCCATTTTAAATGATGTAACAAAACTACAAACTGAAGATCTGAATTTCACTTTTTGGATGCACAGAAAGGAGAATTACATCTGCAACCTTAACTCACATAACACTCAAGTTACAAAACAAAACCCTTCAGACTTGGTTTATCTCATATAATTAGTAGTGGTCCCATCTGAGTGACCATGACTGACATCATAGTGACATATTCCCTTTGTGTTTGTTGTTGGACAGGAGTTAACAGCAGCTTTTAAGTAATTTTTTTGACAAATGCTACTATCAAACAGAATTTACAGTAGATAAGCTGCAACTACAGCTCTGACACAAATCTGCCTATTTCCTGTGAAAAATAAAGTTAGTTTGATTTATTCACCAGGGATCTCCATGGATTATGGATCCATCTAGATAGGACCTGATGCTTATCTCTATGTGACACCAGTTTGGTTGATGGGTGAGAGGCAGGGTGCACCGAGGATAGAGCGATCGTCCACCACAGGGATACACAGGACATACAGCCATGCAAACAGAATCATGCTTAAGGGCATTTTAGAGTAACCGACAAGTCCAACAGTCTCGATTTTTAACAGTGGGATAAATCCTATGGACTAATGCTGTAGTATCAGATTAATGACCACCAAGATGTCCTCCAAATTAACCTTTTGCTGACTAGTTTTGAGCTTGCACAGAACAAAAAAAACAAAAAAAAACAAAAAATCACCTAATGCTGTCATTACAAAGTCACTTCTGGCCCTTCAGGATAAAAGCACTTCCTGTTTGAGTATTTCAGTCATTTCATTTTTAACGCCTATTACAACTTGTCTTTTCACATAAATGCATGTTTATATTAACAAAATGGGAAAATTACACCCTTAATTTTAAAAATATTTCCCAACAGCTAACATTTTGGAGGCATATTTAATAGTGTTCTAGGATCAATGTGATAAATCTTTATGTTTTAAATAAGACTCGAGGACAGGGCTCCTATGTTCCAGTCCTCAACATGCGGTGTCCTGAATCTTTTACATGTGTCCCAGCTTCAACACACCCGAGTCAAATGATCAGGTCACCAGCAGGACTCTGGGGAACTTGACAGCATACTGAGGAGGTAATTAAGCGATGTGATTCAGGTGTGTGAAAGCAGAGACACGTCTAAAAGGTGCAGGACACAGGACCTCGAGGACCCTAACTGAGCAACCCTGCGCTACAATAATGATCTAAATTCTCAAGCTGGAGCACTTCTGACTTTCTGGCAAACTAGACGGCATGCAAAAATAAAGACTGTCATTTTCATTCATCAGGGACTAAAAAAAGAAAAATAAATTAAAGAAACAGCTTTTAGAAACCATTGTTATGTGCTAGCGAAAGTTCAACAATGACCAAATTAAATAAGCAAATTTTTAAGCATTTAAATTGTATGTTACATGTGTTTTATAGAGGTTTAAAGGCATAATCCTAGTCCAGTACGAAAATAATGACTGAAGTGAAATAATTTATTGAAAAATGGGTTAAAATTTCAGCTAAGATGACAAACAGTAACAGAGGCATGTCTTTGTAGGGCAGTCACCTACCTTTTCTATTTGTCTGTGTGTTAAGTTTATTCTTGCATGACATGTTTAGAGCTTTTCTGATGTCTAATGGAAGTGAAAAAAAAAACGCTTTATCTTCACACCTGCTTTTCATCTGATTTCAGATGTTGCCACAATATTATTTATATTATAAAAGTAATGGTATATTATTAATGATATACTTTACTCAAACAGCTGTTGAAATATTTGTTTTTATATAAAAGAATGAAATCTGGACATTGTGTTGGATAATATAGAATGTTTCAAAGGTTCAAGTCATTTGCTACTATAGACTTATGCTAATCTCTGTTATATTAGCTGATCCATGTTGAAATGTCATGCAAAGGACAAGGTTACAGTCAACTGTTTCATCACAAGGACTCTACTGCTGTAGACACATGATATGTCTGGGTCTTCATCCTGTGCTTCATCTCTCTTATCATCTGACATACAGCCAGAGGGTAACAGCAGCACACTGCACTCCAGTCCTCACAAACACTTCCCTGTGGGTAAACATGCAGGACAGCAAGGGGCAGAAATAGAACAAAGGCAGAAAGACGTACAAAATGATGCAGGAGAAACACATAAAAATAAAATCTGTAACTACAGGTGCAATACATATAAGAATACAAATGTTCCAATGCACATCTTAGTTTGGACATGATATTGGATATGAAATCAGATATATATCTAATAATAGTAAACTATTGTCTTTAAAATGATTATTTTCCAATGGTAAACTTTGGTTTGTTCAAAAGAAAAAAACATAGTAATGTGTTTTTCACTCATTCGTATTTTGTAACGCTCCCTAATTCCAACCCTGAGGGCTAAAGTGGATCCTGGTAGGAGGGACAGACACAGACACTCCCCATACTGGTGGGCTAAACTCAGGTCTAAGAAGCATGGCACCAGTGCTCCAAGAATACCTGGAAGAATACAAGGTGGCAGTAAAGTTTTGCATTTTAGTTTGTGGTTTTATTGAGGCACAAATCACTCATTTAAAAAAGGTGTGTGAGACCAAAGATCCGATAAAGGATAAAAGGTAATTTGAAGCAAAGAAAAAATTTAATTGTAACTAAAACCCAATTCATATGCAACTAAACTCACTTCCATTTCTTTTAAAATTAAGGAAAATCAAAATTGGTATTTGAGCTTCCTGGTTGCACCATTTGTAGCTCTTCTGCCTTGCAGCAAGAGGGTCCTGGGTTCAAGTCTCTCTGCATGGAGTTTGCATGTTCTCCCTGTGCATGCATTGGTTCTCTCTGGTTTCCTCCATCAGTCAAAGAACATTTTTGTTTGGTTACCTGGCTTCTCTCAATTGCTCCCAGGTATAAATGAGTGTGTTCATGGTTATATATCTCAGGAATGGATTGGCAACCTGAGCAGGCTGTACCCTGCCTTTTGCCAACTGACTGTTGGAGACAGGCCCAATGATGAACAAGCGATGGAAATTGTATTGTTGCTTTTCTCTTTTTAAAAGGTTTTCTTTCAGAGTGTTTAAAAAAATAGTCTAATAATCTGGCATTCCAAGCGAAAGAGAGACAAGGCAGCATTCATTTATGTAAACTTCAACAGAACAGCATAAAAATGAATGGATTTATGTATAAATAACAGTTCATTCATACTGCTTTGCTATGAATTGCTGTAAATCATATTTAAATCAAAAATGCATTTGCATATAGTTCTTGGAATAAGTATCCTAATACATTTTAAAAGAGGTGTGAGAATAATTGCGTTATGAGAATTTTAATAAAACCACAAAATATTGTCAGTGAATGAGGATCAGAAAAAAATGTGTTAAGTAAACACATTTAAAACTACAGCCATATGTACTTCCTGGCAATTTAGGGGGAATCCTTTTTTGACAGCAAAAAGGTCTTTATCCACTTTCTACGCATGCTAAAGTCTAAGTTTTGTAAATTTGCAAAACTTAGACCTCTCAAAACACTTGCTGACTATGTCAAAAGCCTTTTAAGATTATGCCTCTTTTCTGTGGTCAGCATGTTTTTCTTTGTCTTGGAATCAACTAAAAGGTCTCTATATAGATAGAGGTTTAAAGATAAAGAACAAATCCCACTATCCCACTACCCAAATCCCGACTATACATGTTTTTCAATAAATTTATGCATTTGGACAGTACACCAGCAAAAGGATCGTGAGGCAGAGTTATGGGGAAACTCCACACATGTCTTGTGTTGGTAAATGTTGCGGCTGGAGGCCAATCCTTTGATTCTGCAGGATGAGCTAAAAGCGCATGAAGCCCAGGAACTTGGTGGAAGCTGTATGGCATGAAAGAGGGATCCTTAATGAAGGGGCTGAGTACTTAAACAGAACTGTGATCTGAACGGGGCTTTTTATATGTAAAATGAAAAAAGAAAAGTCACTAGTTTTTGTTCCAGTTTAGAATTCTCTAAATGGGATTAAGCAAGTATTATTGACTGACAGATAACCTTAGAATTCCTCCCAGAGATACAGATTTCACTGCAGCCTCATATGGGCCCATAAAATTGTTCTTTTTTTATGCTTATTCAAAAGAAAAGAAAAATTACGTATATAAAGACTTTTTTAAACAATAGAAACACAGAAACAGACTTATAAATGAAGCTTAAAGTCCCTGATGAAAAGACACCCAGCAGCATAAAATCAGGAGGTTGTTGAAAGATGACATGGCAATGAGGTAAAATGACTAGTGTTGCACCGATACCAGTATCAGGCGGGGCCCCGATCCAGCACTAAAATGGTGATATCGGTATCGCCGATTACCGAAAAATAGGGCACCGACACCATTTTGAGAGCCAAAAGTTTATTCAACTATTGTCACCCATTACAGGTAGGCAATAAAAGTTCTACTGGATTCACTTTCAGCAGCTTGACAAAGCCACGATGGCAATGATTTTACATCCAAGTAGTATGCAGTTCTTCTTAAATACACACACACATCAATTTCAAACAGATGGTACCGGTATGGTATCTGTATCAGCCGATACTGCACAGCCAGGTATCGGGTATCGGGCCAAAAAAATGGCATCAGTGCAGCGCTAAAAGTGACTTTTGATTTGCACAATACATGTAACTTTTCACACTCATATTTTAAATATAAACCCCTGCCTTTCATGTGCCTGTTGGGAAAAAAATATTTGATCACTATATTTGATCCCCCTTGGTAACTTTTAAAGGTAGATTAACAAGAAAAGCTAATCCCAGTTTAGAATCTTGACCAGTAGAATATATATGCTTTCAATCAATGCTGATAATAAAATGTGCTTATGTGTAGTTTGTGGGTGTATATTACTTACATGTTGTCATGTCTCCGCATACATCAAGAAGCCCCGTGCTCCAGTCTCCCCCCATCTGTGTGACGGTGGTGATGGTGGTTGTAGCCATGGCCGGACCAGGCTGAGTTAGCACTGGGTCTATCGTCACAGGAACTTTATCTGACCTCGGGGGATCGTCGTTTTGGATGCTTAAGTCTTCCTCTTCCTCATCTTGGCTCATTAACGGTGACACATTGGAAACCGCCAGCTCTGCTCTAAAAAATGAATAAATAAAGAAGGCAGCTTCAAACAGGAACTGTTACTTTTTCTTCACAAAATAGTTCTAACCTAACAAAGTAATCTGTTCCTTGTTAATACAGTACAGAAATTAAGAGAATATTTAAATTTTTTTTTTTTGAAATTTTCAAAATATAAAAAAAAAAATGTATTAATAATACTTTTTTATATGAATATATATAGTGTATATATAGTTTTTATAACTTTCTTATGAATATTTTGGGAAATGAATTTGACTTTTTTTATTTTACTATTACGGGTATTCGGATTTTAATTAAATTATTTTGAGGCCTAATCAACACAAGTTCTTGGAAGTTACGTTGTCATGACAACGTCAAGAAAGCTAGTGATCGCCGATTGAAGAGGTATCCCACATGCAGCAGCAGACTAGTAAAATTACAATAGTCTAATGTGAGAAACGAGGAGGAAATATGGCACAGAAATGCATTTCGGATTTAAAAAATAAACAAAACCACCAGTGAAGAAGAACACTGGTACAACAGAGAGCAGCCTGAGTGAGGAGAAGGTCCGCCTACCTCAAATAGCAGCGAATTTTAATTAATAGAGCATATATTGACCTGAGAACTAATTCATGATTAATGGGATTAGCCTAGTGATGTCTGTGTGTTACGGTCTCTGGCTGAGTGTCCTGACGTGAATATGACACTAAAGTAGTAAATGTCTATCTATTTTGATTTTATTTACTGCCGCGGTTCTCAAAGTGTGTGGCGCGACCCACTGGTGGGGAATTGAGACGTGACAGGTGGGGCGCGCCAAGTTCCGGTGTGTGTGTGTGTGTGTGTGTGTGTGTGTGTGTGTGTGTGTGTGTGTGTGTGTGTGTGACTATAAATGTAGAATGTGTGAGAGCAAACTGTCCTTATAGCTGTATGTTGCCGCTTTTTAGACCAATCAAACCCACAAAGTAATCATTAATAGCCTACATGCAGTCTAATTAAAAGAACATTAGATATGAGAAAAATTTCACCTGGAACTGAAGTGCCAAAATAATGATTGACGTGACGTCGGCATATTATTTGTAACGGAATAAACTTTCGCGCCCCAGTGTTGCCAACTCAGCGACTTTGTCGCTATATTTTAGACCCCTCCAGCGACTCTTTTTTAAAAAAGGGACTAGCGACAAATTAGCGACTTTTGGAGACTCTTACGTGAAAGCACGTATCGTCCCTTTTCTTGTCCTCCAGCGGCAGGTGCTGCCGTGGGGCGCCTCCGTCCCAACCCCGTTCTCGCCCGCTATCGCAGGAGTCCCTCTCAGCGCTGCAGAGACACAGCATGTTTACCCTCAGCGTCCAGACTGCAATTAAAGCGCACATGCGCCGGGATTGACGGCGCAGGTTGATCATAAATAACTGAATTTGAAATATTTTATCTTAAATAAATAGGACCAGTTCATTGAAATGACGTCTGACTCAGTGGCGGCCGGCCCATAGGGGGCGCTGGGGCACCGCCCTCCCTGATAAGAAGAGAGAAACGTAAAATATATTTTTAGAAATTAACTCATAAATGTCAGTTTTACTCTCTAGACTGTGTACCTATAAGCAAAACAAATTATATAAACTACATTTCCCTATCTACTGTCATTAATTTGTGGATTTCCACAGACAGACTCCTACCGTCTCTGTTCTGGGGGCGCTTATCAGACTGACCCACATTTGCAGAGAATCTGTCAATCATGTACTATTGCTAGGTGAATTTAATGGCCAATCAGCGTCTCGGAACTTTATGGTATTGGGGCGCTGAAAATACTGCGCTTTAACAGGCTTCTGCACCCAAGCGCAGGTGCAGACAATTAGAGGGAAGATGGCGAATGTAACGACCGAGATGCAGCTTCCACCAAATTCGGTGAGATCCTTATTTATCTACCCGTTTGCCAGAAGAATATCCCTGTTGTAGGATATGAACATATTATGTCATGGTTATTGTGACTGTGACGAATCCACCTCGTCGCTTAAAACAACCTCTCTAACTTTGCGCACCACACACACATTCCTGTTATACTGTGTTTGTGAGGACCAATACACTCGCGCTGAGACCAGTAGCTCCATGAACTTAAAACACACAAGCTGTTCCTGGTTACCTGCTGGCGTATTGAGGGTGCACACTTAATATTTCAGTGGGGTTAGCCGTGTGTGTGTGTGTGTGTGGGGGGGGGGTGTGTGTGTGTGTGTGTGGGTGGGTGTGGGTGTGTACGTGTTTATGCTACGGGGACTTGTCATCTTCAGTCTGGCTGCGTCTTTGCTGGGTTCAAACCCAGTTTGGTGTAATTGAATAAGTCAATGAATCTGTGTAAAAGAATTAAGTTGTAAAAATTATTTGTTTTTGTACATCGATTGTTTGTGGAGGTAATATATGGACAAAACTGATTAATGAGAAGAAATCAGAAATAAGAGAGCCTGATGTGAGGGGCTTAAACTATTTAATGAGGGCTGTGGGAAGAAAAGCGGCAATTTTTGTTTTCTGTTTCTTTGTTACATTGCTGGTAACTGGAGGGAGGCTGAGGCCCAGAGTATCTTGTATGTTTAGTTTCTTTTGCACCCTGTTTTGAGTTTTTGAGCTCAATAAATCACCAACACCGGTAACCCGACTGAGACTGGATTCTTGGAGGCCAAAGAACCCCGTCACAGTGACCCAAATCATCACTGTTACTGTTATTATATAGTAAATTAAATCATTACTGTTAAATTGTATGTATTGTCCAATTGTTTATTTGAATTCTTATTCCGGATTAGTTGGAGACATACACTAGGCTATATCAGCCCCACCAAAAATATTTTTCACCAGCCGCCACTGGTCTGACTCCACCCTGAGGCTCAGGTTTAATGCTCAGACTAATAGTGAATTCTGGTTTGGAGTGGAGAGGGAGTATCCACTCATCGGGCAGAGAGCTGTGTGCATTCTTCTTCCCTTTGCCACATCATATCTCTGTGAGATGGGCTTTTCAACTGTTGCTTCACTGAAAACAAAATACAGATCTCAGCTGAACATTGAGCATGACTTGAGAGTGGCAGTATCAAGCCTGCAACCCCGTTTTGAGAAACTGTGCAATGCAAAACAGGCTCATTGCAGCCACTAATGCAGGGATAAATAGACCTGTATTGCCAGATGGATTTCACTTCCTTTCTTTTATTAACAGATTGCAGAGTGGCACTTTAATTTTTTCTATCTTTGAGCTTGATACAAATTTTGACACAGCTGCATTTTTATTTTCTTTATTTTTGAGCTTGCTGTTATTTGATGTAGATAGTTGTATTTAGATACTACTTGTTACTTCAATAAAATTGGAAAATTTTAAGGTTGTTGCATATTTCATTAGCATTGTGTTGGGGCGATGGGGACAGGCGGGGCTTGAAAATTCCCCCTTGTCCAAAGTGGGGAATGACAGAAAAAGTTTGAGAACCACTGCCTTAAACAAAGGAAAAGTTGCCCTTAATTGTCTTGAACGCTGACAACAGTATTAAGTGATCTGACAACATGGAACACTTACTGGTCAGTAGCTGTCGTCTCCTCCATGACTTGGTTCTTCCAGCAGCTCCTTTAGAAGAGAGTGGAGTCAGGAGTCAGCAGGAGAGGAGCCAAAGTGACACTATCCGGGTGAGAGGCTTTGTGTTGGAACAGATAAACCAGCAGTCAGATGGCTCAGCCAGAAGCTGCGTGACTAAGATAAGTCTTGCTGTCTTCAGTCTGAGACTTTGCAGTGCACCCTGCTAATACAGCAAATGAGGAGAGGGCAGATTCACATCAGGGTGCAAAAACTGAAATAGTTCAGCTTGGCTGGATGAGGACGTATTTGCACAGAAGAAAGTAAGATGATGTCTTATAAAGTTTTTAAAATAAAGCGAATGCTACAGTTTTCAACACAATGTAATAAAAAAAAATATTCAGGTCTGATCGATCACATTTAATATTGCTTTTCATTCAGCTTTGACAGAGGAACAGACTGGATGTAGAGAACAGCTTGGGATCTGCTGTTTTTCCACACTGAACTGAGTATCGGAGCTCATCAAAGCAGCTCAGGTGTTTTGATGAAAACAAAGTAAAACTATTTAAGTGAGTCTATAACCTTCGATTCCTTACTAACTTCCTGCAACATATTTATGTTTTTTATTTGAGATGGAAGGCATAAGATGCCTAAGAGTTAAATGCTAATCAAAAGTTTAAGCAAAATAATGTTTACTTAATAATCAGTTATTGTACGCTTTACTTTTGGAAAATCATCAATACTTTTGACTGAGAGGTACTCATTGTAAGACAAAATGCCCAAAAGGGGAACACAAGACAAAAAAGGTCGGGAAACACTGGTTTAGATAAACATGGCCTTCATTAAATGATAATACACATGATGAAAAAGCAGCAATTATACAGTTTTATTGACATGGAGAAATGAGTCTCCGACCCTGGCAGAAGGCATTGATGCTGAACGCAGTTCCACCTGAGCAGGTACATGTGGGTTTGACACATCTATCTCCTTGGTATCTAACACTGGTGGGATGGAGGCTGAAGAAGGGAATCCAGTCAGATGAAGGTGGAAAGATGACGTCCAGGAGGAAGGGACGACGCCCTGTATGGTGATTGGAATACAAGAAGCCGAGGAGGTGAGCTTAAAGGCTCGAGCAAATGCTCATAATGAGACTGGCTGCAGTTTACAACCATAAAAATTAGATTTGCTTCAAGGCGTTTAAAAAAAAAATTATAATAATAGTTTTTCATTTTTAAGGTTTTCGTTTTTCCCCAAATATCCACAAACATTGATAATTTTGAGCTTTTATGCAAGTTAGAAAATATTTTCCAGTGTTTTGTCAGTCTAAAAAACAAAAACAAAAAAAAGAAAAATACCTCTTTTGGCTTGCATTTTAAACTTTTCCTTTGAAATGAGATTCAAAAAACAATAGTGCAATTTTAGAGACTTTAAAATTTTTATAAATTTTTCATGAAAATTTATAGAGTATAGAAAAATATAAAAATGTACTCTTCATACGTTTTATTTGATGTGATAAAATTTAGACTGGTTGTTAACCGTTTTTTCTTTAACATGTATTTAGACAGCAGCACCAAGCTATACTATTTCAACTTTATAGCTAACATTAGAAAAGCAAACATTTTGTTTAGATCTTTGAGTATATTCTTGACAAACTTAATCTTCAGTTGAGTTCTTACTTGAAGAATTAACAACTAAATCTTTGAGTTTATAAACAAGCAAAGAGACAAACTGTAAATATTTTATTCATTTTATTTTTGTGGAAAATCCAGACAAGCACAACTGACAGCTAGAAAACATAAAAGCTGTCCTACAAGCTGAAGAGACATGATATGCCTCACATTTGATGTAGAAAATAACACCAGACACATTTCCATTTATATGATAACATCTGGCATTCAGAGCACAGCTGGAGCAGTCTGACTATGAGCACAGATGCTCCATCCTGTCAGTAGGCGGAGGAGGTGATAGATGTTTGTTCAGTTCAGATCCATTTAAAAGCTTAAACACTGAAAACGTCAGACAGGAGGAACAGTGTCTATTATAAACATGGCAACCTGAACCTCATAGAAGACGACTAATTGAAAGGATGTTTTATACTGCAAAACCATTTATAAGCCCGGTAATATTTAGCTCAGAATTCCAATTTACTGAAGGTGTGCCCTAATTAAAACAAAGGGAACATTTTCTTTTAGAGTCTTTGGGCTCTTTTTACTGTAACAGGTCAGTTATGAATTAAGAGTTTTTAAAAAGAGGGTGCTAAACCTGCTCCTTTGTTTCTGGAGACACAGCCTTATCAACATTATTGGATCAGATAAACCAGAGTGTCTCCAATGTCTACGGTAAGGCCGTTGTCAGCCAGAGTGACCTTCTTCTCAGCCAGATTTATGTTGAACACAGATTTGCTAGAGATGGGCAGCTTCCCTTTTTCTTCCTGTCCCAGGACAGGCACCCGGCGGGGGCCTAGAACGGGGTCCTCGTACCGCATCAGCTTCACTCTGGAAAGATCTAACAAACGAGGAAAAAAATAAGACAACAAAGGTTAAAGAAAGGAAGTGAGATGCAATAGAAGGTGAATGTAAATGGGGTAAAATAGTGACTGGAAGAATAAATGTAATGTCTTCTTAGAGTCTTTAATTGGTGTGCATTACCAGATTAAAGATCACAAGAGTCTTGCTTAAAAATCATGACAAAAAAAAATAAACGTCAGTTGCAAAAACAAAGTGTGGTATCATCCCTTAAAAAACTAAGTAAATAAGTAGCGCTTTTAATGCATCTGCTTTTTTTTTTTTTTACCTAAATACCAGTTAGATGAGCTGTTTCTTAACTTATTAGTATTCTGTTAAGAATTATGAACAATTTGTTACTTTAAAAACAATACGTACAAGAAATTATGAGATTAATCTGACAATCATTCATCATTTTACATATCTAAGTGGTGGGAAAGTGATGGAGCATAAAGAGAGACCAGCTGGAAAGCAACCATGTTTGTTTTCTCCAAGTCTGACCTGCAGATTCGGATTTTCACCCATTCAGATTTCCTGACGCTTTTAAATAAATTAATTTGTTTGTTCATTTGTTTTACACTCAACCTGCCAATCAAGCATCAAAGGCTGAATTTCTGATCTTTATCAATAAATCAAACTGAGTACTTTTGTCCAACACACATACAGGTGCTGGTCATAAAATTAGAATATCATGAAAAAGTAGATTGATTTCAGTAATTCCATTTAAAAAGTGAAACTTGTATATTATATTCATACATTACATACAAACTCATATATTTCAGATGTTTATTTTGTTTAATTTTGATGATTACAAATGACAACAAATGAAAATCTGAAATTCATCATATCAGAAAATTAGAATATTACTGAAGACCAATAAAAACAAAGGATTTATAGAAATGTTGGCCAACTGAAAAGTATGAACATGAAAAGTATGAGCATGTACAGCACTCAGTATTTATTGGGCCTCCTTTGGCCTGTATTACTGCAGCAATGCGGCGTGGCATGGAGTCGATCAGTCTGTGGCACTGCTCAGGTGTTATGATAGCCCAGGTTGCTCTAATAGTGGCTTTTAGCTCTTCTGAATTGTTGGGTCTGGTGTATTGCATCTTCTTCTTCACAATACCCCATAGATTTTCTATGGGGTTATGGTCAGGAGAGTTTGCTGGCCAATTAAGAACAGGGATACCATGGTCCTTCAACCAGGTACTGGTAGCTTTGGCACTGTGTGCAGGTGCCAAGTCCTGTTGGAAAATGAAATCTGCATCTCCAAAAAGTTGGTCAGCTGCAGGAAGCATGAAGTGCTCTAAAACTTCCTGGTATGTGGCTGCGTTGACCCTGGACCTCAGAAAACACAATGGACCAACACCAGCAGATGACATGGCACCCCAAACCATCACTGACTGTGGAAACTTTACACTGGACTTCAAGCAACGTGGATGAAGTGCCTCTCTTCTTTTCCTCCAGACTCTGGGACCTTGATTTCCAAAGGAAATGCAAAATTTACTTTCATCAGAGAACATGACTTTGGACCACTCACCAGCAGTCCAGTCCTGTTTCTCTTTAGCCCAGGCAAGACGCTTCTGACGCTGTCTGTGGTTCAAGAGTGGCTTGACACAAGGAATGCGACAGCAGAAACCCATGTCTTTCATACGTCTGTGTGTGGTGGTTCTTGAAGCACTCACTCCAGCTGCAGTCCACTCTTTGTGAATCTCCCCCACATTTTTGAATGGGTTTTGTTTCACAATCCTCTCCAGGGTGCGGTTATCTCTCTTGCTTGTACACTTTTTTCGACCACATCTTTTCCTTCCCTTCGCCTCTCTATTAATGTGCTTGGACACTGAGCTCTGTGAACAGCCAGCCTCTTTAGCGATGACCTTTTGTGTCTTGCCCTCCTTGTGCAAGGTGTCGATGGTCGTCTTTTGGACAACTGTCAAGTCAGCAGTCTTCCCCATGATTGTGTAGCCTATAGAACTAGACTGAAAGACCATTTAAAGGCTTTTGCAGGTGGTTTGAGTTAATTAGCTGATTAGAGTGTGGCACCAGGGGCCATCAATTTTGAACCTTTTCACAATATTCTAATTTTCTGATATGATGAATTTGAGATTTTCATTTGTTGTCATTTGTAATCATCAAAATTAAACAAAATAAACATCTGAAATATATGAGTTTGTATGTAATGTATGAATATAATATACAAGTTTCACTTTTTAAATGGAATTACTGAAATCAATCTACTTTTTCATGATATTCTAATTTTATGACCAGCACCTGTATGTACCGGATTTAGTCATAAAGGCTATTATCTGCAGTCCCCGGCAGGTTGGTGGTAAGATTAAATTACAAAACAAACTAATGCGGTACAATAACATTTCCTTCAGTCCGTATGTTATTCTAGCTTCAATTGCCCTAATCTAACTTAATTTGTAACAGCAGGACTTTCAAGCTGTATGCGCATCTCAGGGGTAATTACAGCAATCAGCATGCATCTAACTGCAGTTTGAATTGCAAAAGGTCAAAAGAGTAGTGAATGGGAAAGTCTGTTTTCTGAATTTCTTTACTGGGAGATGGCAAAGGCTGGTAAAAAAAAAAAAAAAAAAAAGACATCTCCAAGACAGATTTGTATACATGTCTATGAATCCACTTAGCTACTAGGAAAAGTGATACAAAATAAAATGGG